CCTTTTTTTTTTTTTTTTGAGACAAGATCTTGCTATGTAGTTCAGGCTGGCCTAAACTCACTTTGTAGCCCAGGCTGGCCTTGAACTCAGTGCTATTCCTGCTTCAGCCTCCCAAGTGCTGAAATTACAGGTGTGTGCCGTCACACCTGGCACTATCCTTTCATTTTTATGGTTTAACTTTCCAGGGCTAGAGATGCTGCTGAGTGGTACAACAGAGGTGGCACACATTCAAGACCTTGGGTTCGATCTCCAGCACTGCCAAAAGCAGCCAACCACCTTTCCAGGGTTGGGGATATAGCTCAGTGGTAGTAGTACTTAAGGCTCTGGGTTCAAATCTCTAGTGCTGCAAAAGAAAGTAAGAGTTTTCCTTAAGTTAATATCAACATCTTCACAAGTATTAGAATCAGGTCCAGGAACATAGCTCAGCGGCACAAGCACCTGTCCTAAGTTTGATTCCCAGCACACACACACAAAAAAAGTTACAACAAGTATTAGAATCATTAAATGAAATATTAATATCAAAAAACATTAAGGTTGAATATTTTATTTGTTTCTTATTGTGCTGCAAAGCTGTTGCTTCACTGTATAAAAACAGCTCCAGGCGATGCAGTCTATTATAAAATTAAGAAAGTGTCGTTCTTCATCTGACATTATACAAGTGACACATGTTCTTTAAGTATTTCGACCAAGTCCAGGAAGAAATGTAAGCAAGTTATAATATTACATTATAACAAGCAAGTTATAATATTATGGTAACAGTGTTATCCTTGAATTGCATAATTCTTATAACTAGTTTTTACCATGGATAATTTAATGAATTCTGAATATCAGAACCTACAACCTAGTCTAAAAATCATAAGGCATATATAAAAAGATGCACATTGTGTTCTGCAATCACTAGGGAGTTAGTGGGTATTTTCGTCCAGGAGCAGCGATGAGAGTGGTTTCTTTTCCATCATTATAGTACTGCTAAAAGTTGTTATCTCAGGTCTTTGTCTGCTACTCACTGCAGACAACTCCGCTGAAGAAGTCACTTCACACTAGTTTCTTCCGGGTGCAACTTCACTCCTCAATCGATTTCACGTATTTCTCATATGCTTCTTCGCTCATGAGCTCATCTAGCTCTGAAGGGTCACTCACGGTCATCTTGATCAGCCAGCCTGTAACCAAACAAGAATGATATTTCAGTTACCTTTTGAAAAAGCCAGATCCATGCAAAATGTAAATTGCGTGGAACTTTTAAACATTAGCCTTAACAATTGAATTAAGGTAGTTTTATATCACAGTTGATAAGGATTATAGCTAGAGTAGAGCCTATCATAATAAGTTAAAAAATTCTTATGTTGAGCCAGGTGTGGTGGCAGATACTTGTAATCCCAGGACTTGGGA